ATATAAAATAGATATTATTTTTTACATCTTTTTGCATGGTAATTATATATCTTATTATATTTTACTGATATAATTATATTTTTCAGCTAATAAAAACATCTGTTAGTTATATTTCTGTTTTACTTACAACAAAACAATAACTTCAAAACTATGATAAATTCACGTTAGTTAACATTATAAAAATTATATCACTATTTCAACTTTATTTAAAATTACAAACGCAAGATGAATATCAAAGTTTATTAAATAAAACTTCGGAAACATTAAAACTACTCCTAATATAAGAAAAAAACTAATATGAAAAAAGGCTACATGTTTCACTATTATTAAGAAATAAATGTACATAGTTTATATATATATATATATATATATATATATTTTTATTGGATTTAAAATATGTAAGTAATTATTGAAAACTAGTGATAGAAGTGAGAAATTGTAAAAGTTCAACCGCTATTATATAGAAATAGATAAAATTACTTCCTTTTAATAAAGGTTATTGTATTTATCCATATGAATAAAATTGTATGCACAGTTTTTGGAAGCATATATATATATGAAGTAAATGAAATCTTTATTGTACCAATGACACAATTTTATTGTTGCTAGCTATAGGAAGGAAGCTATTAAAAGTTCGAGCACCATCCAATTTTTTGCAGAATTCAATATATACGTCTAATCGACTATAAGTGCGTGGGACCATGAGGGATATACATCATGCCATATATTCGCTCCAAAGGACAATAGCAAGACTATCCACCTGTTGTTATCCACGTTTTTGTGCACGCACACTTTTTTCATCACTTCGCATCAAGAGGCGTAACCTTGCAACAAGAGATGCTTGGAATATTGAAGGGAGTTTATGGTAAGTTATCATCGTACAATGTAAAAATTTTTATTGCGTGCATACGCGTTGTCTGAGGGGGTAACGTTGATCTATGACAGAGGGACAGAAGGTAGTCTCTAGGCAGCATTCAACATGAATACTTCGAGAAACTCGGAATACGGAGGTGCTCGAGAATTATCATTCTCGTAGAAGTCGCGACAATAGTCTTGATGAAGATCAATTTTAGTTTATAACGTCATTGTATAACAAATGCATTCTTAGGACATACAGTTAACATTGCAATTTTAACAGTGCAACGTTAAAAATCAACATTTTTTTGTTCAGTTTTACAATATGTGAACTAAAGTGATTTGTGCGGATAAAAAAGTAATAAAGGAGAAAGGGATGGTTTAAAACAATTATGCGAGTGTCATTCTATAATCGCGCACTCATAAGCACAATTTAATTTGAATTATTGCAGTACATTAAATATTATAAACTTTTTTTACAATTAAAAACAATTTAATTTATCAAATTTTTTCAATAAGTAAATTTTGAATGGACGGTGAAATTAAATCATTTTAGTCTAGAATTAGACTTTGAACGATGGATAAAAAAAGTGGGCGAGAAAGGCCATTGCGTACCGTTTTTTTTTTTCTATATTAATCATGTGTACAATTCCATCATTGCATTCAGTAACAAAAGTTTGTACAAATATCTTGCTGCATAGACTTACATAGATTTACTGTACCAGTAATGACTAATATACTCGCGATTTTTTGGTGGAAAACAAAAGGTAATTGTATAATTTATAAATATCAAATATTAAGTGCTACTGTCTAAACGGAACAACCAAACATTATAAAAATACCTATTGCTTATTAATATCGTAATATGTATCATACACAATTGTCAGAATTGTATACACGAAATGTAGAATGTAAAATTATTTTTATTAACCGTTTGTATCGGCGAAAAGCGCAAGAATTCAACAGGTAAGTGCAACTCTTTGCCTTGTTATTTTCTTCCTATTAAGGAAAGAAAGAGGTTCAACTTTTTCTCCAACAGAATTGCGAGAAATTTTAACATCAAAACTTTGACAATGAGGCAGTTCCCATCCCTTTGAAATATTAAAAATTGCGCCTATAGATAAACTCGACTATAATTGCGACGTTTTTTACACGAGCATGCGTGACAGCACTCGTCTCACATCAGTCTCATCCAAGCAGCGGAACAGTTCGGAGTCTTATGGCCTGCGATATGAGTACTAATGAACTCTCGGGATACGCAGGTGCTTGTACATATGCGACACAGTATTTGCATGCAACATAGTTTCTTACATGTCTCATAAACATACAGCACAAAAATATTAATTCGTAGATTTTATTTTTTTTATTGCTGTTACGTTAAAATACTAAATAACATGAATGTTAGCAAAACGAAAAATAATTTTATCGCATTTTTTCGCATTTGCAACTACAATTGTAAATTAAGAAGATGCTAAATTTTGAGCAAATTCTTATCATAATTTACCTTTTTTAAAATTAACTTGCTTTGTTTTCAGATTTTGAGTGGGCGGTTCAATTAAATCGTTTTAGCTTGAAAATGATCGGTCTTTGGCCGAAAGAAACTGGCAGCTCACAAGAGAAGCTGTTTTCAAATTTACGATTTTCATGCGTCATCATCGTCATCACTTGCGTCTGTACTACTCCTTCGTTATATTTGCTACTGAAAGTTTGGGGTGACATGATGGCAATGATAGACAATATTTTATTTACTTTACCTTTATTGTCGCTCACCATGAAACTGTTCATTATGTGGTGGAAGAAAGAAAGTAAGTAAATAATGAAATGGATGAAACACTAGTATACACGACAATTACATCTTATTTTGTAGTTTAAATTTCCACAATAGATTTTTTTCATTAAAAAAGATTCAAAATTTTTACATTTTAAATTGTTTTGAATGTTGAAACTTTTGTAATATACAACATCTCAACCATTTAAAAATAAAATTTTATAATGCGAATATTCCCAACATTTTTTAATGTTTATTTTAACACTGTTTGTTATGGAATACGTCTGCATAATTTTATATTACAATATATCTTTATTAAGTTTTTTGTTTAAATTTTTTCGACCATGTTATAATAATTTCCACTTAATATGCGCATAAATAACCAATCCTTTTCTCAAGCATTGTCGTCATTAATGACCATGATCGTTCATGACTGGGTCAAATCAAAATCCCGCGACGAGCGAGACATTATGATGCGTCGTGCTCAAGACGCTCGTCTAATTATCACGTTCAGCTATATCGTAATGGGTTTATCACTGACAATTTTGATAGTTACTTCCATCTTTGGGTATACCTTAAGGCATGTAACAAACGTCACCGATGCTAGCAGGCCATTGCCACTACAGGCATTTTATATCTATGATATATCCGTCAGCCCGCAGTTTGAACTTACATTTTTTATTCAATGCATCACTCTATTGATGGTTGCGCTTTCTTACACTGGTACTGATAATTTCCTCGGACTTCTCATCTTTCATATTTGTGGCCAATTGGAAATTTAACAAACCGCTTGTATCGGATGCGCAAAT